TTACTTCACATCGACCGAACTCGTTTACCGCCTCGCCGAGTTCTTAACCTCGTAGATCACCGGAATTTGGGGTTCTCGAATCGGGATATCGGATTTTGAGCTGGGTTTGACTAGTCGGTTGACTCACCGAATCACATCCAAGGAGCATTTTTAAAATGGAGAATCTTGACGCTGATTTCATGCCAATTGTTCGTTCTGGAGCATGGGCTGACATTGGGTTCCGACGAAGGATGGAAGATGTTTATTTACGCCTTGATAATTTTATACTTGATTATGGGCTGGAGAATTTCACTGATGGGCCAAGTGCCTTTTATGGGGTATGGTTCTTCCCTGATTATTTCTGTTTACCTTTAAGCTGTTTGTTTTTAACTGTACTTGTGATGCAGAGATCTTCTAAATTCCCATATATATGGATTTAATGAAATACTGCTTCCAGATTAGGATGTTTTACAACTGATATTTATTTTTTAGTAGGTTTAACACAACTTTAATGTAATTGGCCGTTATGCTGACTGTTCTATGGTTCATTTGATCAATGTCAAGATTAATTTTTCAATTTTGTTTGCTGATTGTCTAATTTTGTGAAGTCAAGTTGAAATTGAGTAAGGGTATGAATTTTGTATCAACATGGTTTGTGGCAAGTTAATGTCGGTAGTGGTAAAGGAGTTGGTGATCATTGCTGTAGCAATTAAGCAGTGTGTTAATGTGTTTTTGCTATGTTAATAATAAAAAATGGCCCCTCTGAAGAAGCAGCGGGAGCATCAAATCTAATGGCAGTTGAGGTTGGTTATAATCTGTTTCAGGTTGTTTACATATTAATTTTGCTTTTAATGGTGGTGGCTGGCATAAAGGTTGGTTGTCATGCTGTGGGTTGTGATTGTACAATTGTTGTTGCTAGTTTCTAGGAACAGATGCTTGCGGCCATCATTTGTTTGCACATTTATGTTCTCCAATTCAACATTAATTTTTTATTTGGTTGTCAGGTGTTTGATGGGCATGATGGGAAGGATGCTGCTGAATTTGCTTGCGACCATTTGCCAAGGTTCATTTTTGAAGATGATGACTTTCCAATGGAGATTGAGCAAGTTGTTGCTTCAGCATTTCTGCAAACAGATGCTGCTCTTTTTGAAGCTTATCAGTTGAATGCTGCCCCTGCTTCGGGTACAACTGCTTTGGCAGCTCTTGTTGTTGGGAGGTAAGTAATTTTCCTTGAACAGGTTCCATAATTAAATTTTATTCTTATTCAAATTTATAATTTATTTGAGTTATTTTCACTTTCTCTGAGAACCTCAATGTTAAAATGCATCTATTGTGCTTACCTTTGTTATTCTCCTCTCTTTTTATTTTTTAATCTCCTTTTTCTAGTGATTTGATGTTGCATATTCAGCATCATGCATTAAACAGTATCTATAGGTCTATTTATGCTCTGAAGGCGTTGCTTTGATTAAATTTCAATTGGATGCTACTTCTTTGTTTGATTTATTGGTTTTATCTATGTGGATCCTGCTAAACCAATCCATTCAAAGCATATATAGATAAAATCACTTATTCACTTCTAGGAGATACTAAATATTACAGTATGTGCGTTTTTTTGGATGTCCCTGAAGGGACCAGTGTCCTCGCAGTTAAATTATAGCTTTAGGTAGCCTATTTATTTATTAGACCAAATCCTTTCAGTATCCATTGATTATCTTTTTAGTATTCTCTCAGCATCTAAAGCTACAATTTAGCTATTAAACAAAAATCCTTGATTAATAGACATGAGACACAGGTGCTGTTAGGAGTTAGGACCATAGGGGTATCTTGTTGTTGGTACATGATGGTGGGTTCTCATTGCTTTTTTGTTTATTGCAGATTGTTGTTGGTAGCAAATGCTGGAGACTGTCGAGCAGTTTTGTGTCGCCGTGGCAGCGCAATTGAGATGTCAAGGGATCATAAACCATCTTGTATCCGGGAGAAGAGCCGCATTGAGACATCTGGAGGTTATGTTTGTGATGGTTACCTCAATGGACAACTCAATGTTGCTCGTGCTTTAGGAGATTGGCACATGGAAGGAATGAAAAATGTGGATGGTGGCAGTGGCCCACTAAGTGCAGAACCTGAACTTATGACCACAAAACTTACAGAGGAGGATGAGTTCCTCATCATAGGATGTGATGGTATCTGGGATGTATTTCGAAGCCAAAATGCAGTGGATTTTGCAAGGAGGAAGCTTCAGGAGCACAACAATCCAGTCACGTGTAGCAAGGATCTCGTTGATGAGGCTTTGAAGAGGAAGAGTAGAGATAATTTATCAGTTGTAGTTGTTTGCTTCCAATCCCAGCCGCCCCCAAACTTGGTTGCCCCACGCTCAAGGGTTCACAGGAGCTTTTCTGAAGCGGGGGTGAGAGAGTTGCAGAGCATCTTGGATAGTCTGGAAATTTGAGATGATGACGAATGGGTAGTCTTTTCTTTTCTTCAGCACAATTTATCTTCGGAATTCCAATTTAATAGTTAAATTGTAGTTTTAGATACTGAGATTATTGGAGTTTAAACTGTAACATAGGCAACGGTGTCACGTTGGATTCATAAACTTTCTTTTCTTTTAGGAGCCTAACTTTCCTGTTCCTGAAGCATTCTTTCGGGGTACTTGTTCAAATGTTAATACATGCAACCCATTAGTTAGATTAACTGAGAATTTGTTTTGCACCTTTCTTCCCTCTGCTCTTCCCTGTCAACTGTCGGATATTGGTTCTTCTCTGCATATGCAACTATTAGTAGATCATAAGATACCCATTTAATTTAGCCTCACTTGTAATAATGATAATAATGATAATAATGATAATTTGAAGTTGAATTGAATGCAGTTTTCTAATGAGTACTTCTGTGAGATTTTTTTCTCGACTTTCCAAAGCTTTTACCTGCACATAAAATGTAGACCAAAAAATAAGGTTTGTGGAACATCTCCTCCCAATGAACAAGTTTAAGCCCTTTCTCGCTGTCCGTACTCCTCAGCCGCTCCTCCACTCTCCCTCTTGCTCCAACCTCCACCATTCTCACTCCTGCATCATTGCACTTGATCATCCAATGCCCTTCATCGTTCTTCTGCAAGCGTCCGGTCATAATCGGAAAATTAGTGAGCAATTCCGATAACGAATCTCTCAGCTTCTTGGTCGCCTCTTCAACGATGTACCCTGCATCTCCTCTGGTTTGATAATAGTAGACGATTCTGATGTGGTTTTGTTCCACAAGCCGGTCGAAGAACGGAAAAGGAGAAGTATTTGTCACGCTGCACTGGTTTCATGCTCAACAACAGGGCGTTTGCAGATGTATGTGATGTCATTCGAGATTGTTGGGCTATTACTTAGTCAGAATTGAAGAAGATTTGAAATTAACTTTTGATGCCTTGTGAAGAATTGGCTTAAATACTTTCCAAGAGTTAGGCATTAAGGGAATGATCTACTCGAAAAAAATAATTAATTTCTTGCATTTATGAGAGTGTCTTACGATTTATAGTACAAATTGTATTAAATTATACAAATTATATTAAATTGTGAAATAGCTTTCCTCATTTAAAAGTAATGTCTTTATTATCGTTGAATCGGTTAAGAAATTTTTTAAAAATGATTCAGTAATAATTTTTATATATAATTTTATATGTCATTTGATTGATTATTTTTATTAATTTAAAATTATAATATTTTATGTTTTTATTTATTTAATTAATATTTTTTTACTATTTTAAAATTAAATTTGTCTAATTTATGTCATAAAAGCACAGATTATGAACATTGAAAGAATAAAGAGTAACATTTAATTTATCTATTACATAATTAAATGTATTTATGTGATAATGATACTAAAATTAATATTCACTTTAATAATTTTTTATTATAAAAAAATATTTATTACACCTTATCTTTTACTTTAAAAACACATAATAAAAAATTCCCTTAAAATTATAATATTTTATGTATATATTTATTTCATTAATAAAATGAGTAAGTTGCAAAGAAAAGTAGTAGAAATAGGCTCGTGTGCAGATATCAGTGGGCCTCACAAAACAAACTTTAATGCAACTAATTAAAAGGCTAGGGATGAAATTAACCAATGAAAAAAAGATGCAATTGAAAATAACGCAAAAGTGAGGGACGAAAAATTCTTTTCCTGTGACCGAAACACCCAAAGAAAAAGAAGGGAGCTCTTTCCTTCTGCCTCTCATGGCCGTATTATCATCAGATCAATAGAAGAGAAACAGCATCGAACCATCAGATCTCAGAAGGAGAATGTCAGGTTCGACAATGGTGGGAGATTCAAGCTCCTGGTCAAGAGCACTCCTCCAGATTTCTCCCTACACTTTCTCCGCTGTCGGCATCGCCATCGCTATAGGCGTCTCCGTCCTCGGCGCGGCATGGTTTGAAATTATTGCTTTTGTTGATTGTTCATTTATCTGTTCGTGCTTTCTGTTTTCATGAAATTTTTCTGGTGAATTTCTTAGGGGAATTTACATAACCGGAAGTAGTTTGATCGGTGCCGCAATCAAGGCTCCTCGTATCACTTCCAAGAATCTCATCAGGTAATTCTTATCCCTCTGTTTGTTTCTTAGTTTTTTGGGATTAATTTTTTCTCAATTCATGTATGGTTTTATTTGGGACTGGAAGTGATCTGTTCTTGCAACCATACCCAAATCTCCTAACCTTTTCCCCCTTTATTGTGAATTTTAATTGAGTCCCGTGCAAAACATCAATCATTGGATGGAGGGGCCTCCCCCAATATCAAGGCTGTCTTAATCTAATGGCTAGTGTTTTAGGGTTTGGTGTAGTTTGAACATAAAACAAATTTTTGATTGTAATTCTCCTATTAATGTGAATCACTGAATTGCATTTAATGTTACCACTACAATCTAAGAAGTCCTTTATCCTTACTGTTTCCTTTGAGTTTGTTAATCCTTTCAATATTCTGATTGTTGATTTCAGATGCTGCCTTGTAATGCATTTCAAAGGACTAATTTTGTACAATGCTTTTATAATTTCAGTGTAATCTTCTGTGAAGCTGTTGCTATATATGGTGTTATTGTTGCAATTATTTTACAAACAAAGTTAGAGAGCGTTCCAGCATCAAAGATTTATGCACCGGAATCACTTAGAGCAGGATATGCAATCTTTGCCTCTGGAACTATTGTTGGCTTTGCAAACCTTGTTTGCGGGTTCATCTCTTTATCCTTAAAGCTTATATCTTTCAATGGAGTTGACTAAAATGATCGTTATGGGTTCTCATTCGCTTATGGTTTGGATACCACTTCTGTTTTTGGTGACAGATTGTGTGTGGGAATCATTGGAAGTAGTTGTGCATTATCTGATGCCCAGAACTCCTCACTTTTTGTGAAGATTCTTGTGATCGAGATCTTTGGAAGTGCACTTGGATTGTTTGGAGTGATTGTGGGAATAATTATGTCAGCGCAAGCAACATGGCCTTCCAAAACAGCTTAGTTTGTTCTGTTCTGACCATATATAAGGACACTTGAATCTTATGAGAAAGCGATCTACTATTTTATGTAACTGAAATGAACTTGTTATCTTCTTGTATTCATTGTTAGTAGGCTTGTAGCAACTAGAGTTAAGATGCTTACCTATTGACCCACTTTTGATGTATGTTTTTACTGCATTGTCCATTATGAAATAAAGGTTTTTTTAGCAGAATCAGAATTAGATACATGGTTGAAGACATTATTTTGTATGTACTGAAACTACATGATTTATAAGCAAATTACCCTTGAGCATTGCTATTTACCCAGAACAAGCAAACATCTGCCATCTCTTCAGAGATCATGCAGGGCATTAAAGAGTGGATCTACTAATGATAGGGACACTTGTGAAGAACGGCATGTTCTTCTGTTGAAGATCTTTGCACTCCTCAGGACTTGCTGCCTTCGGATCAAATAGATGCCTATCCGGAAGAGTTAAGCCCTGTTTGATTCGACCCAGCCTCCGGGAGTGTAGGACCTGTTTAGAAGTGACAGGCAACCTAATGGACTGATACTCTTCCAGAGCTGAGTGTAAGTTTTCCACTCCCCATTTCTCAAGGCAGTTTCCTAGAACAGCTGCATCTAACACTGACATGTTGGTGCTTCTCAAACCATGAGGCGTTGTAGGATGAGCAGCATCTCCGATCAAAACTACATTGTCCCAAAAGATCTGTTTGAGAGGGTCACAGTCATATATGGCATTTATGAAAGGATCCTTGGTCTCCTTCATCACTCTCACAAGCTCTGGTAACCAAACGTCCTCCGCTTCTTGGATCATCTTCCTTATCACTTCATTACTTACTCTTATGGTAACTGAATTTGTCTGTTCATATGAAGAAGGTAGTTTGATTAGTCGGTAAAAACTAAGAAGGGAGAATCACTACAAATGGGATAAGAGTTGAGGAAATCACCTTGAGCTGAGGCTCGGGTTGATTGACATACCAAATCCAATTGAGTTTGTTCCTGGGAAGTTGATAAAGCACGCTGTGAGTTTGGGAAGCAAGGTCGAAGTACAAGCATTTTCCCAGGTAAGGGTATGCTCTCCTAATGCCAACAATGGTCTCGGATTCCTCTCTTCCTGAAAAATCGAGAACCCCTCTCCACGCACAGTAACCCGAATACCTGCAAAGAAAAACCCAAGACAGAATTGATCAAAACCTCGACGAATCCAACGAAATCACACGAGTTCTTGTCTGTTTTCATTGACAGACCTCAATTTAAGGTGAGGAAGAAAAATATGGCGGATTGAAGAGAGTGAGCCATCAGCTGCAACAAGCAAATTTCCATCCAACTCGATGGTTTGGCCAGTTTGAAGTACTTTAGCCTTAACACTGACCCAAGATTTGTCTTCAGAAACGGTGAAGGAAAGGAAAAGGTGACCCCAGAAGAAAATCTCAGGCGGTAATGAATGGTAGAGAAGGCCATGGAGTTCAGCCCAATGCGCTGCTCTGAAATTGAAGCTCTCGTCTGTCGTCAATGTCCAACCCACTTTCCGATTACTGTCCGTCGCCTGGTTCTGTTCAGAAACGCAACAAGAAATTGATTACTGATTAGCCATAATCGGAGTTCGATTAGAGAAACAATTACTAATTACCTGATCGATAGTGAGGGGCAGGGTGGCATGGTGGAGAAGCTGGGGCTGGCCAAGCCAGGACCCAATGATGTTCTGAGTAAGAGGGTCGAGGCCAAGGCCGGCACCGGTGGGGCTCCCCGTGGGAGGTGCTGTTGTTTTCTCGAGCACCACAACTTGCCATCCTGCTGAAGTGAGGGCGTGGGCGCAGGATAGCCCTGCTATGCTACCTCCTACAATTATTGCCTTGGGTATCTTCCTCTGCCTCTCATCCATCTCTGTTTTCTGGTGGCAATAATCTGCTAGACAAGTGGACACAACTCATAATGAAGTGAATGAACCGAGTCCCATTTTTTAAGACATATAGGTATTGAGTAATGAAGGTTAAATGTGAATTAACCGAGTTTTCGACATTTAAAAAAAAATTAATGTAATTAGTGTTGTTTATTAGTTGAATTTTCAAAATTAAAAAAAAAAACTCTAAAATTACTATATTTCATCAAAAAGCACCATATAAAAGACCAAAAACTAATTTGTTTTTACTTTAAAAATAAGTTGTTTTAATTTTTTTAATAAGAATTTAATGAAATAACTTAATTTTAAGATATTTTTTCCTAATTTTGTAGAGATTCATTAGTTATTTTTGTTTACCTTAGAATTTTTTATATTGGAAACACTGAACAGAGTTTTTCTTGTCATTTTAGGTAAGTTGAAGGGCTGAATTGATAAGAAATGAACTTAAGGGGATAAATTGCGAAAACTTCATATGTTATAGGGTTTTTTTTGGTTCCAAATCGCATCAACTAGAAAATTCCCCCATTTATCAAAACGCAGCCGCTCTCGTCTCTGTTTTCCGCAGCCCAAACACCACTGCACCGTGCGCACCATCTCGTCTGCTATTCTCGTCTCCGTGTGCGTAGAATGGGGGCCGGCCGTGAAGTGGCGATATCGCTGGACGGAGTGAGGGACAAGAACGTGATGCAGCTTAAGAAGCTCAACACCGCCCTCTTCCCCGTCAGATACAACGAAAAGTACTACGCCGATGCTCTCTCTTCCGGCGAACTCACCAAGCTTGGTTCGATTTCTCCCCCTGGATTTCGCTTATTTTAGCCTATTTTTCTCCTGTTTTTTTATTATTTTTTTATATGCAATGTAAATCTATATATTGCCTTCATATTTGTTGCTTATTGTTCAGGTTATCTTTTGTTAGTTTTCTTGTTTTCAATTGTTGTGGTAATGGCTGCTGCATACTAGGATCGTTTTCGGTTGGTTTGCTTTTCTGTGTTCTAGTATGGACTATATGTTTGGTATTGTTTTCCTGTTGAATTTTATCTGTGGAAGTCTCATTATGCCATTTTGATGATGTTGTTTGTGGCTTCAGCCCCTGATTTTAGAGTTTTGCTCCTTTTTAGAAATTTTGTGTATTAGCATAGTAGCCAGTTTGGTTGTCTTTTAAATGTAATTATATAGGGACAGGATTCAAAATCTGTTTAGCGGGGCAAATTTAGTCCAGAAAGAAGGTCAAAAATGAAGTTGACCTACACCAGCTTACCCAGAATTCTTACCCAATATTTGGGTTGGATAATGGGTCTTGTGGGATGTTTAGTAGCTGGTTGAAGATTGAACATAAATGAAATGAGAAACTAACATGAAAAATTTGTCTTCTACTTAACATTCATCTTCGTCAATTGCCAATTTTACAACACATATATTTGTTCTTACAACTTTGGTACATGGTATGATTATCCTCATGTTTTGATGTTTGCAATTCAATCATTTACTAATCTGTTTTTGGTATCATCTGTGCTATGTGAATGTAAGTAGTCTATATCTTTGTTTCTTGTTAGTGGTGCCATGTATGGTTTTCTGCAGCATTACTGATGCAGCAAAGGAGAGAGAAGAGAGAGAAATGTAATGGTTGAAGGGTGAAAAATAGTGGAAACAAGACGTAAATGAGAAGAAAGAAGAGAAAACTGAGGGAAAATGGGGCAGACAGGGTGATATTGAATTCTTCATATAACTCAAAATATAGCATAAGATATAACCTTAAAAGTTAAAACTCAAAGTTAGTTTGTGTGACTCTGTGTATAATGCATTTTTAAACTTCAATTCTATTCTAATATTTCCTAAAAGAAAACATAATTAACCATGTTTTATGCTCTTGACTTGCAACAAAATTACAAAATAACTACAAATAACAGAAGCTATTCTTCAAAGGATTCTTTTTCAATAACTGCATGGTTTAGTTGTAGTTTAAGAGTTCCTCATTCATGATGCCACTGGGTTTTAGATTTCTTTTGATGTATTATGAAATGTTAAGATGTGTTTTCTCAGCCCTTCCAATCTTTTGGTACACTGACACATTTATTGAAATCCAAAAGTGACAAAAGTCCTTAGTGAAGTGGTTCTTTGTTCTTGATCTTACATTAGTGAAAGTTTTTTTTAATAGACTGTTGGTCTCTATCTGTACACAACTGGGGACATTTTTAAAGTGTTCATTATTGCTGAACAAGTAACCTTAGTCATGAGATCCTTTTGGAGCTTAGTTTTTGCTAGACCAATAGATTATGTTCAAAGAAATTTGTTAGATGGATGTTTGGGCATATCTAGTAGTGTTAATATATTTCCTCAAATTTATTTATGTCTATGGCATCATTGTTGGTAGATCCAGCATGAGGTTACTATCTTCTTTGCCACTTCATATATCCAGCCCCATTGATGTTTAGAAATTAGAGTCATTCCACATAAGAGTACACATTATGAAAGTAATAGAGAAGGTAAATGGGATTCAAAGTAAATTTAGAAGCATGGCATATATAACTATTATATTATTTGGGATTATTCTAGACTTTTTTATTAAACATATGTGTTCATAAATCATTTCTCCTGATTTTTTTTTTCTTGCTCATTCAGCATATTACAGTGATATCTGTGTTGGATCTATTGCTTGCCGCCTGGAGAAGAAGGAAGGTGGGTCTTTCCGTGTTTACATCATGACTTTGGGTGTGTTAGCACCATATCGTGGGCTAGGAATTGGTGAGTAAGCAACCCATTACTATAATGTTGTAGATCTTGCTGGGGATTTATCTGAGAAACTTTGTCTAATTACCTAGACCATATTTGTTAGAACTCCTAGTCTGTTTGAAAAGCTTACTCTCTTGTTTAGATCGTTGATGACTTTTGAGTTGTTTCTTTACTGACAATCTATATATTTCAGGTTTAATTGTGTCACTAATGTGAAATCTGGAATTTGTGCAGGCACGAGGCTTTTGAACCATGTTCTTGATCTCTGCTCCAAGCAAAACATATCAGAGATTTACTTGCATGTGCAGACAAATAATGAAGAAGCCATTAGCTTCTATAAGAAATTTGATTTTGAAATCACAGAGACCATCAAGAACTACTATACAAATATTGACCCACCCGACTGCTATGTTCTTTTAAAGACCATATTGCAACCTCAACTGAAGAAGTGACATGTTAAAGCTGTACTCACGCATAGCTGGATGCTACTGTCCTGTTAACTGAATTTTATGAGTTGAACTTGGATTAGGATTATTGAGGTTACAAGGATGCTATGATGCATTCAGCTTCTGCAGTATGTCTAATTATTTAATTGCTTTTTACTTGTTACTCCTTTTTCATCCGCATTTTTGAAAATTGTCACCAGGACCATGAATCTTTGAATATTTGTCTTGCCATTCCCGTCCCAATGGGGCAATTGCTACAGTTGGATGAAATTTTACCCTTCCTTTTGGTCAAGTAGTATTATGATGGTCGCTGCTACTAATTTTACAATATATGATTCATTCTGTCATTGAAACAAAATCATGAAGTGAACACAGATATAGAGTTGCATTTGGTTCATATTATTATTGTTTTGATTTAAAAAAAGTGTTGTGCAGTTTTAATTACTCTGGATTACATAATTTTAACCATTGAGTAGTGATGAGCTCCTTAAATGTCAGAGGCTATCCTTCCATCAAATGGTTTATGTTTTGCAGTCCAGAAGGTAAAACAAAAAACTCATTGTTATTTTAGTTTGGACGGCTACAGGGAGCCGTGAGCATCAGTTTATGTTCTGAACAATTTCAAGTCTATGTCCCACATCGGCTTACAGCATTCCGGACTTATTGCATTTCAAGGGCCTTACATTCAAACAACATTCGACGTTAGACATACGAAACGGTGTAGAGAGATTGGTTCAACACGAATTACACAAAAAAAAGTGTTAGATTGGTGTTTTTCCACATGAGTTACACACACACGCAAAAAAAAAAAAGAAGGTGTTTTGGTTGGCTACTGAAATTATTAAAACTGGGCAATTTCGTTAAAAGTGTCCTCTCTGAGTGTTTTTTTTTTTTTTTTTTTGGTGCAGTGTGTACTGGAAAAAATGAATTTCCATTTTCTCATTAGTCTCACCGAAGTTTATATGCTTCAGCAATCAGCATTCGATTAGCCGCCCCTCGTTATCAGGAGCTTCCTCTCAACCGCCAAGCCCAAACCCAAACCTCTCTTCCCAGTTACAA